TTTTTTAAAGCACATATGCATACAAAACATCCTCCAGTTTAAGACTCTCGAATGGTTTTTTTTTCAGTCCCCTTAGAAAAGTTAATATTTGACCCAAGTAACCTTCTCCTGGTTCTGAGATCAAAGCTAATCATTCTTCTTATATAAGCCTTGATAATAGAATCTTTCTCACTGTTGCGTGTTAGATAACAATTAGGGCTTGACACTGATAAGAAATTTGTTGATGAAGATGATGATGATGATAATGATTATTTTGTGTGTGTACCATCAAATTGGATCTGACTGGTACAGAGATTGCCCTCATTCTCCAGCAGGGCATCTGATGGATTCAAACTGCATACCTCTGGGATTGTGGTGCAGCCTCTTGCCACTAGGCCACCAGAGCTCCCCTAATATGTAATTTTTGACCCACAGGATCAAGTTTAAACTCTACTTGGTAAATAAAGCCCTTTATGATTTGAACCCTCCTTGTCTTTCTAACCTTATTTATATCCTGCCAGTCCCCACTTTCCTTCCTGCTATTTTCCTCAAAACACAGCTTAAAGACACCTCTTAGAAGAACCTTTAGCACCCTATGCATGTATATGACTGTGCTGTCATCCTGTGCAGATTGTCTCACCTACTAGACGATAAACTTTTTTTCCTAGCTCAAAGGGTGGTTGTTTGTTTTTTGGTGTTTGGGTTGTTTTGTTTTGTTTTTAATTTTTTTTAAATTTTATACTGGTTTATTTACAGAGTTCATATACATTGTTTTTCACACTGGATCTTTGCCATTTCCTTCACTCCCACCTCCGTCCACCCTTCAAGTTGTTCAGCCTTAATCATAACACTTCACATCCCCCACACACTTACTTGCCCTCACCCATTGTCAGCCCTCTGCTCCTCCCTGTCCCCTCCTCCCCCTTGGATCGTCATACTCGTTCTACAATAATGGTCTTATACAATATTTTAAAATATAAACTTTTGAAAGGCAGAAGCTATGTCTTCTTTTCTCTCTTCCAAGGTTAGTGAAAGTTTATTATATGGTAGATATGCCTTTAATAAATGACTATAAAAGAAATGAGTACATATTTCCTACATTTGACAGCAACAGAATTAGATCTCTAGCATTTCTAGTCTCTCTAGCCAGTTATCTATTCCTAAATATATTAATGTTTTATTTTCTTTAAGATCTTGGAAAGTGATTACATAGTCATCTCAATAACCTTATTGTCAGGAAGTTTCTTCTAGTATAGTATGGACATGATTCTCATCACTCTTCTGCCTTAAGTAGAAATAGAGGATTAAAGACTTGTTAAAATAGTTGGTTATGTTTTCTTTTTTTACTGAGTATAATATACTTTACTGATGGTACATGACACGATGGGCTCTCCAGACCCCTCCCCTTTCTCTGGGAAACTGGATGGAAATGGTATCATTGATGTGAGATTCTCAGTGGTGGAGGGGGGCATCGAGTTGGGGCAAGGACTCCCCAGCAGCTGAGGCGGGGTCTCTCTTCTAATGCTATTGCTGGGGCTCACCAAGAGGCTCTTATTCTTTGAAGGCCATTTGAACCATCAAGTTGACCACTCTGTTGCAGTAGCCAAATTCATTGTCACATCAGGAAATGAGTTTGACAAAGTGATCATTTAGAGCAATGCCAGCACCAGCATCAAAGGTGCAAGAGTAGGTGTCACTGTTAGTTAAGGAAAAAATCTGGTCTTCAGTGTCCCCAGGATGCTCTTTAGGAGCCCTTTTGATAGCAGCTTTACTACCTTTTTTATGTCATCATATTTGGTAGCTTTCTCCAAACCGCAGGTCAGATCCATAGCCAACACATTGTAGGTTGGGGACACAGAAAGCCATGCCACTACGTTATCCATTCAGCTCAAGGATGACCTTGCCCACAGCCTTGGCAGTATATGCAGAGATGGTGTTCTGGGAAGCTCCACAGCCATCATACCACAGTTTTCCAGAGGGCCCCTCCTCCAGAGTCTTCTGAGTGGCACTAATGGGATGGACTGTGGTCGTGAGTCCCTCTACGATGCCAAAGTTGTCATGGATGACTTTTGTCCAGGGGGTCTAAGCAGTGGTGCCGAAGATATTCCTGATAATTTTGAAAGAGTTGTCATACTATTTACGGCTCTCATTCATCACAAATGTGGGGTATCACCAGAAGAAGCAGAGATGTTTACCCATTTGTCACCGCTCTTCAAGTGAGCCTTAACCTTCTCTAAGGTTGTGAAGACACCAGAGGATTCTACAACATAATCAGCACCAGCATCACCTTACAGGATCTCGCTTCTAGAAGATAGTGATTGCTTTCCCATTGAGGAAAAGCTTCCCATTCTCAGCCTTAACAATGCCATTGAACTTGCCATGGGTTGAATCATATTGGAACATGTAGACCATGTAGTTGAGATCAATGAAGGGGTCATTGATGACAACAGCATCCACTTTGCCAGAGTTAAAAGCAGCCCTGATGACCAGGCATCCAGTGAGGCCAAATCTCTTTTCTCCAACCTTCACCAGTGTGTCTAATGGATGCAGCTTAGACGGCACAAGAATAGACTGCTATCTGCTATCTATTTTGTTCATGGGTTCGCTATGAGTCGTACTTGACCAAATGACACTTAACAGCAACAGCAATTGCTGATGAAAATGTGTGAGAGTAGTAACTAGATATCAGCTATATGGGAGATTTTAAAAAAACAAAACAAAACAAAAACAAACCAGCCTTATTGAAGTATAATTCATAAACTTCATTCACTTATACACTTTAAGTGATCAGGTGAATTTTTTCTTTTGTATATTCACAGTTATACAACCAACACCACAGTAGGTTTTAGAAGATTTTTATCATACCATAAAGAAACCTGTATATACATTAGCAGTTACTCTCCAGCCCTAGACTGACACTAATTTATTTCCTGTCTCTGTTTGCCAATTGGGAAGGGAATATTCTGTTTGGAAAGATGGAGGGTCAGTGAAGGAGAGGAAGACCCCCAAGGAGATGAACTGACACAGTGACTTGAGCAATGGACTTGAGTGTATCAGATGATGAGGATAGCACAGATAGGACAGCTATTCATAGAGCCACTGTCAGTTGTACTCAATGGCACCTAACAACAACAAGAACACATTTCATAGGAATAGAATCATAATATGTAGTTCTTTATGACAAGCTTCTTTTTAATTAGCATAAGGTTCATCCATGTTATAACATGCATCGGTACGTCATTATGGCCTAATTACACTATTTTATATTCACACACACACACACAATTCTATGTAAATTTTGTTAAGTATTACATATATCTCTCTTAGTTTTTCTGTCAAGTTGCTCTAGAGGCCTAATGGGTAAAGAATTGCACTTGCCAACCCAAAATCAGGCAACAGCTCTATAGGAGAAAGATGGACAGTTAAAAGAGAAAGAAGCAGTACCTTCTAGAAACCTGCTGGAAGGTCAGCTATGATACCAGTGAATTGAGCTGAGTGAATTTCATTTAGCCATCGATGGTCAGTTCTTTTTACTTTTTGGCTGTTAGGAATAATGCTGCTATAAACACTCATGTTCATGTGTTTGTGTGGATAGATGTTTCCTTTCCCTGAGGTATACATCTAACAGTGACACTGCAGAGAATATTTAGTAACTCTGTATAGTGCTGGTGGCATAGTGTTTTTTTCTGCTAATTAGGAGGTCAGTAGTTTGAATCCACCAGGCATTCCAGTGGACAGAGATGGACAGTCTCCTCCCAAAAAAGATTTACAGCCTCAGAAACCTAGTGGAGAGACTCACCTGGATGGCAGTGGGTTTGGGGTGTTGAGGGTTATGTTTAACAATAACTGCCAAAGTGATTTCTGAAACATCATTTTACAGTTCCACAAGCAATGTGTCAGAATTTCATTTCCTGTGAATTCTCAACAACACTTGTTATTTTTTCTTTTTTTATTACAACCATCCTAATGAATGTGAATGGCTAATGATATTGAGCATCTCTTTATATTCTTATTGGTGAGTTTTATGTCTTCTTTGGAGAAATGGTTTTTTACCTATTTATTTTGAGTTGTGTTTTCTGGTGTTTTGTTTTGTTTTCTTGTGTAATGTCGAATCTGATTCTACTGACACAGGAGGAGATTGTCCCTTTCCTGCAGAGCATCTGGTAGCTTTGAACCACCTTCAGGATTGCAGTGCAGCTTCTTGCCACTAGGCCACCAGAGCTCCTCAAGTTGTCATTTTTTTGTTGAATTTAAGTTCTGCATATAAGCCCCCTTATCAGACAGATGGATGGCTTGCAAATACTTTCTTCAATTCTGTGAGTTGTCTTTTTACCTTCTCAGTGGGGTTGTTCGTAGCACAATTTTTTTTCCTTTAACTTTTTTTTGGTCCATAAATATTTTTCATTTTTAGGAAATCCAGTTAATCTGGTTTGGGTTTTTTTTTCTTGTTTGTACTCTTGTTGCAGTATCTAAGAAATGTCTGGTTCAATGTAATAAATATTTTTTTTTGTCCTACATTTTCTTCTTGAGTCAGTTATTGAGGAGTAGAGATTTTAAAACTTCTGAAGTCTTTTCTTTAAACTGTGTGAATATTTTACTTTTACTTTTTCTTGTTGAGATGGTAATAAAGATGTATCAGGAGCTCTAAAGTGGCAGCGGAGGGTTTTCTTAGAGAGGAAAAATAATGAGCCAAAATATTTAACACGTTGCCGCACATTTTTAAATTGACAATCGTGCTTAGAAACACATCCCCTGCCCCCCTCCATGTATTACCGTCATTTGAGACAACGTGTTAACAAGTTTAGGAAATTGGAATCATATCCCAGATAACCTCTCATATTAACTTGAACATTACTTTAAATCTTCATTTCAGAATAGCTCAGAATTGTATAAGGTGCCAGCAGCTCTCAGAAACTCAAATCTTACGGGGTATCTAATAATATTAGTTATAAATACATTAATTTCTAGTAATATTATTTTATCTACTAATAATATTCAAAAGTACATTCTTATCTGCCCAGGAGTCTCTCTTTTTGGCTTGTCTGCACTGTTGATCCCTGGGAACTTTGAATCTCATTTGGAACTCGTGAAGTCCCTGAGTCTGGCTCCAGCACTGATCTACACAGCTAAGTTTGCACTTGTCTCCCCTCTCATGTATCACACCTGGAATGGAATACGACACTTGGTAAGTTACTTGTGAGATTTGCAGATTTTTTTTTAAATAGCATTCAGTTTATTACAGATATTTAGTATTAGCTTCCCATATTTCCCCCATTTGTTTTTATCATAATTATGTTATCATCTAGATGAGCATCCTTTATACACAAACAAATAAAACAAATTAAACTCAAAGAAATACTTTCAAAAATCTCCATATGACCAGAAGGATTCAGGTTGAATATTCTTTGAAAGTCTGTTTTAATTGTCCCATTGCCACAGTGCTTGTCAAAACCAGTTCTGATTTTCTTTGTCAGTGTGTCCTTTGCCATTCCCTATCACTCCTCCCTGAGAGAGACTTCACCCCGATTCATAAGGAAAAGGGGACGGCGTATTCTTTTAGCTACTTTCTACTGAAAAGGGATGCTGTAGGTTTCAGGGTGAAGATCTTCTCTCATTACTCTAAAGCGCCCCTTTGGCAATAGGAAACACGTAGACTATTGTGGATATTGATTTTGGAATTTAGATGCACTATCAATTGTGCTTAGCCATACATGTTCATATCCTTGAAGATGCATCATGGAACTGTTGTAGCCTAGAAGACACAAATTTAACTAACAAGTTAAAAGTACATGAGTCACAAATTAAAAGCAATAATATTCCAAGGAGAGGTTCTAACAGTGGCATAAATCAAGTTATAGAGGGAAGGTAGTTCTTGAAATAAAAGGCTTATTGACTAGCACTTTGTCTATTACAGTAAAAAGGTTAGGAACCACAAGATGTAGAGGCTCAACTATGTCATTTATTGTTCTTAAGTCCTGGAGCAAATTCCATGTACCGCTGGGTTGTTTTACAGCTCGGAAGTCCACATGCAAGGCAGAGGTGAAGTAAGGAACTGCTTATGAGGTTTTCTGTCAATTCCAACAACTAAGAAAGAGTGAAAAAAGTTGGGACCTCAGGAAGCTTTTAGGACCAAATAATAGGCTCTTGTGTCCAGGAGAAAATGAACATGCTTATCAGTAATGTTAATGCTCACCCACAGCTCTTCTGGGAGGATCAGACTCGTTGAAATGGAGTGGAGAGATTGAGAGTATTATACTCTTCTTCTGGATTTAATAAATTTTGAAAAAATTTAAGTGAAGGTTTATATGTCATTAGGTTTTGAGACAATAATTTATAGACATTTTATCACATTAGTCGCCATTGATTAATGTCATTCATTAAATACAATGTTTAGTCAACTCATTATTGTATATTGCCTTTCCCTTCACTCAGCTCATATATTCTTTAATTTTCACCTACCCTCCCTTCCCATTCCAGTTAAAATTCCTGTTAGACTGATCCTTTCTGTGTGTCAACCTTTTCTTATCTTTTTATAATAGTAGACTTATACCATAATTGTCCTTTTGTTACTTACCTATGTCACTCAGCATAATTTATCCTAGAGCCATCCATGTTGTGCATTATTTCATGTATTTTTTTTTTTAAATTTTTTTTCTCTTTTGTGTGTACTGTCAAATCAAATCTAACTGGACAGGAGGAGATTGCCCCTCCTTCTCCACCAGAGCATCTGGTGGATTCAAACCGCTTACCTCTGGGATTGCAGTGCAGCTTCTTGCCACTAGGCCACCAGAGCTCTCTTATTTCATGAATTCTTGATCATTTTTAGTGATGCATATGTGACTGATTCTTTAGCCACACTGATTCTCTAGTCAGTCACCTATTGATGAACACTTGGGTTATTTTCATCTCTTTGCTGTTGTAATTAGTGCCATGTAAACGTGGATGTGCATATGTTGGTTTGTGTGGCAGACCTTACTTCTTTGGGATATACACCTAGCAGAGGGATTGCTATATCAAATGGTAGTTTTTCTATTCCCGACTTTCTAAGGAAGTGCCAAACTACTCTCCATAGTAATCATACCATTATATGAGCATTATACCCTCTCCAGCAGTATATGAGAGTTTCAGTTTCTCCTCTTTCTTGCTAGTATTTATTGTTTGCTCTTCTCCTTCATGTACTTTGCTATTGTTGCTGAGGTAAGATGATATCTCATTGATTTGTACCTCTCTAAGTGATGATCTTGAGCATTTCTTCATGTATTTGTTGACTATCTGAATGGCTTCTTTGGTGAGGTTATCTGTCCATGTCCTTTATGTATTTTGTGATTGGGTTGTTTATTTCTTGTTGAGATACTGCCATTTTCCATAAATAATCTCTTCTTTAAGGTTAGTTGTGCCTTTATTAGAAACTTCTTGGGGAAAGATAAGCAAGTTTTCTCTGCATCCTTTGTCACCTCTGCTGGTAGTATGGCTGAGCAGTGGATGTAGGCCAGGGACTCAGTATAAGCTTCCAGTTTTAAGACGGTTATTACTAGAAGAGGCTCTAGCACAGAAAACATTTTTAAAATTGTTTATTTGAGTGAAATTTGAGAAGGCAGATTTATAAGACAAATATTACTTAGTGTCTAAAATGTGTAAGACACTGTACTAGATGTTAGAGATTCATTTATAACCTAGATAAAGATACTCCATTGTAATCTAGATAAACCTGGTTGCTGTTTCAGTCTAACATTCCTTCTAACCCAGAGTGCTTCATCTAGTTGGTGTCAATATATTGATTTTTGTTATCTTGAATTGAGCTGCATTCATTGTTTTTTGTTAGATTTTTGTTTTGTGTTTTATTTTTATGTAATTGGAGAGAATGGAGGTTAACTGAAATAGGAATTGAGTATCTAAGATACTGGGTTACCCTTAAACTTGAACTGTTTCTGTCAGAAGGATGTTCATGCCTTAGTTTGACCTTTTATAATTTCTACATCAGAGGCTAGAGAAAAGCACAGAATTTCTGTTTGTCCAATAGACAGTGTAATGGAATAAAAAAGTGAGAGAGCTCTGATGGGCCTAGTCCTTTGGGAGTTAAGCTGTTAGCCCAAAGGCCATGCTTCTCAAGCTCTTCAGATCTACCAGCTACTCTGCAGGAAAAAAGATGAGCAGTTTCCTCCTGTGTGATTTACAGGCTCAGAAACCTATGGGAGGCGCAGACTCAACAGCATGAATAGGAGAGAAGCTGTTTATTGCAATGACACAGAGAGAGAGAGAGAGAGAAAAAACAGCCTATTAAATTAAGTGTATCTATAATCTGCTCCCTGGGGCAGGATTTGAGTTGGTTTTAAATTATTTTTCACTTCCCTAAGGGAGAGTAGATGGTAAGGAAGGGCATTTCCTTTAATTCCACAGAACAGAGCTTTCTGATGAACATCAGCTATCAGCTTCCTCTTTTCATATCTTGGCTCAGGCAAACGATTTGCCATCTGTTTGCTTTTGTTGCATTTTAGCAGGCAGAGGAGAATAAGGAGGTTTTTGAAAAATCCCAGATCTCAACCTTTTCCCTCCTGGTTTCTGTTTATGGTGGCAATAATCCCTTTGTTGAGAGAAATGAAGACCTTAAATCTTTTCTTAAGCCTGAAATCTGCTTTCATTAGTCCTTTTAGCAAGACTGGCTCTGAGTATAGGGTAGGACTTTAGTCTGTTCCTTCTGACAGTCCATAGTTCTTGGCTTCTGAGCTTGACATCTATGAGAATAAGTGACAGTGTCTGTGGCATTCTAGAGAGTGTCTCTTCTGTCATGTTGTACCATGGAGTTGGAGATTGGTCCTCTTTCTCCCACAGTGCAAGCGGTGGATTTGAATTGCATGCCTTTGGGTAAGCAGTGCATTTCCTTACCAGTAAACCACTAGAGCTCTCCCTCCTCCCTTCAGTTGTGACCACCTGAGAATATATTACTTTCCATTATCATGACCACCAGTAATACTGTATTTTTGTTTTTAACAACACTACCTATATAACCAAAACAGCTCTTTGTGGAATCTACTTGACTCCTCATCTGATCTAGGTAGAAATTATTTCAGTGTTGAGATGGGCTCATCTCGATTCCCACTCTCCACCCCCCCCCAGGTTTCTCTAGCTTTTCTGTAGTAATAATAATGTTACCATTTTCTGTAATTCAGCCAGCTTTAGAGTCAGGTTGTATCAGTATTTGTTGGGGTGAGCATATATGTGGGAAAAATGGGGCCTAATTTTGCCCTAGGAAAAATTTTAAGTGACTTTATGAATTTGTTAATATCTCTAGGATATGAGGAATTTGGGCGTGTTTATGGGTGACAGTTGTACATGATGAACACAGTTGTTATCACTAAACTGTACACTTAAAAAGTGTTGAATTGGTTAATGTTGTGGTGTTGTGCTGATGAGTAGCACAATATATAATAATAAAAATATCTCTTAAAACATACTAAGAGTCCAAGTAAGTGTTTTTCAAATTGTGGCTTTTGACCCAGTGAGTATAAAGTTAATGTTTCTAATAACAACAAAATTAGAAAATGTAGAATACAGTACATATAATGATGGTATATATTGGTTATTTCATCAGTATTCTCTTTATATATTATGTTTCAATTTAAAATATTCCTTGGTAAAGAAAATTGTTTGAAAGTGTTCACATTAAGAGTTTACCAGATTTATTTTACCACAGCACTTTTTCTTCATCCAATGTCTTTCATTTCTGAGGAATATAATTTTGGAGAAGCAGACTTTGGAAAGCATTGATTTGAGTGTATTGGCCTGGGGGGAGATTTTATCTATTTAGTCTACAAGCTTTTGTATCCAGGGACTATGGATACTTTTCTAGTCGCTGAGATAAGCAGGTAGGAGGTACCATGTTACAGGTTTTGAGAAGGATTAAGGTGGAGCATAAGGTAAGAGTACTTTTTCTCTAGAATTATGCTGAAAGGAGTTACCTGTTTAAGTAAGTGAAAGTCCTTTGTGAGAAAAGAACTCAAAGGGTGACTGGTGTGTGCCTTCAAGTCAGAACTAACCCATAGATGATCCTCTGGTAGGTTTTCAGAGGCAGTAAATTGCATGGGAAGAGATTGTCCATCTTTCTCCAGCAGAACTGGTGGATTTTGAAGCTCATGCTTTTTTTTTTTTACTACTTAGCCACCAGAGATGACTACTGAAATTCATTCATTCTTTTCTTTCTCTTTTTCCCTTACAGATGTGGGACCTGGGAAAAGGCCTGAAGATTCCCCAGCTTTACCAGTCTGGAGTAGCTGTGTTGGTTTTCACTGTGTTATCCTCTATAGGGCTGGCAGCTATGTGAAGACCTGAGGTTCACAACATCTACCTACAGCTTATGATGTTGACTTTCCTTCTGTTTGTTAATCCTTTCTCCAGAGCAAAGTTCTCCTGATTGATTAAACCCATTTTTGCTTGCAAATCCCCTTGAAACTCAGTAGAGAACATTGTATAACCAAAGTAATGGAAAAGGGTCTCATTTTCCTCTTGTTTCTTAAGATGGAATGGCTGCGAAAACTCTCTTTCTTGCCCCCAGGTTGCAGCCTACTCTAGGCCTTTATTCTCTTTCCATATTGAGCTTTGATTTGTGCTGAGGGTCAGCTTTTGGCTCCTTCTGCCCGAGACAGTGGAAACAATGCCAGCTCTATGGCCTCTACCCTAAGGGCTGGGGGTGGGGCTTTGGGTGCCACTCTCTGTGGGTTGCTGGCTTAAAGGACAGTTCTGTTCATTGGTCAGAGCCCAGGGTCTTTAGCTCCCACACATTGTGACTGAAAGAAGATGGTGGGAGTGGGGAAAATTAGCCTGGCCTAGCTAGAGGGAGATAAAGAGGGTTGGCTCTGGAAGCAGGTGCTTTGGAAAAGGCCATATAAGAGGAAGATCCATTGAACATTATCATTGAACATAATAGTTTGTTTTTTCTTCCTTGCACTTCTAAGAAAACAAAGCCTCTTAATGTCATGTTTTCTAATTCAAACTCATGTGACATATTTTTCTGAAACAATTAAAATATTCATCTTGTCTTTGACTCTTCTTGAAATCTGGAGAAACTGAGAGAATGGTAATTGAGGGGAAGTTTCCTCCCCTACCCTCCAGTCTCAAGCATTCATACTCCCCTAATTTAACCTTTCCCAGGAGGGAAACAGTTTGTCCTGCACTGACAACTAGAAAATCCTCAGGGAATCAAGTACAAGTAGCCAGAGATTTCATTATCACAAAAAAGAAAGGAGCAAGGAAAAAAGTGTGTGGAGAGCTTTAGGGTTCCTATAGACTCCAAGTCCCATTGAGGACTGATGATGAGCAGTCTCACTGAACATGGTATGATGCCCTGCTATGGCAAAGTACTGGTGCAGATGGGAGCCAGAGGACGAGTGAAGGCTAAGGAATAAGCTGAAGATGCATATGTGGAGTTGTTGTTTATTGTTGTTTTGTGCCGTCAAGTCATTTGCAACTCATAGTGACTCTATGTACAACAGCCCTAAACCCTGCTCTATCCTGTGCCAATCTCACTGCCTCTGACACATCCATCCCAATTACCCCAGTCACTGAATCAATCCACCTCATAGAGAGTCTTCCCCTCCTGCGCTGTTCCTCCACCCTCCCAAACATGATGTCCCTCTCCAAGGACCTGTCACTCCTTACAACATGTCCAAAGTATGTCAGATGAAGCCCCAGAATCCTTGCCTCCAAGGAGTAGCCTGGTTTAACCCTCTCCAGGATGAATATATTTGTTTTCTTGGCAGTCCATGGTACATTCAATACTCTTCTCCAGCACCACAGCTCAAAGGCATCAATTCTCCTTCTATCCTCCCTAGTCATTGTCCAACTCTCTGATGCATAACAAGTGATTGCAAAGACCATGGCCTGTATCAGACGCATCTTTGTCTCCAGAGACACACTGTTGCTCTTGAGTACTTTAGAGGTCCCTAACAGCAGACTTTCCCATCGCAATACATTTTTTGATTTCTTGGCTGCTGGTGCCAAGAGTGTTGGCCATGGAGCCGAGCAAACTGAAGCTGTGAACAATCTCAATCTCTTTGCCATCCATCCTGATGCTACCAGTTGGCCCAATGGTGAGAATCTTTGTCTTCTTGACATTGAGCCTCAGTCCATACTGAAGGCTGCAGTCTTTAACCCTCTGCAGCAAGTGCATGAGGTCCTCCTCAGTTTCAGCAAGCAGGGTTGTGTCATCTGCATAACGCAGATTGTTAATAGATCTTCCACCAATCCTGACGCCACATTTCTCCTCATAGAGCCCAGCCTCTCAGATAATCTGCTCTGCATACAGGTTGAAAAGGTATGGAGACAGGACACATCCCTGGCGTACACCCTTCTCAATTTTGAACCATGCAGTGTTACCCTGCTCTGTTCTGACGACTGCCTCTTGGTCCAAGTATAGGTTTCGCATTAGCACGATTAAATGTTCTGGGATTCCCATTCTTCTCAGAGTCAGCCACAGTTTGTTATGATCCACACAGTCAAATGCCTTTGCATAATCAATGAAGCACAGATATACATTCTTCTGGTATTCCCTGCTTTCAGCTAAGATCCATCTAATACCAGCTATGATATCCCTAGTACCACGACCCCTTCTAAACCCAGCCTGGACTTCCGGCAATTCTCTGCTGATGTGCTGTTCCAGTCATTTTTGGATAATCTTCAGTAGAATCTTGCTTGCATGTGGAATCAATGATATTGTTCTGTAGTTTCCACACTCAGTTGGGTCACCCTTCTTTGGAATGGGAACAAATATAGATCTCGTCCAGTCAGTTGGCCAAGTGGTTGTTCTCCAGATTTCTTGGCACAACTTGGTGAGCACATCCAGGGCAGCATCTGAAATACATGAATTGGTATACCATCTATTCCTGGGGACTTATTTTTTTGCTATTTTCTTCAAAGCAACTTGAACTTCTTCTTTCATAACTATAGACTCTTGCTCAAATGTTATTTCATTAAATTTTTTATATGTGGAGTATTAAAGAAAGGGATAACTTGGTTGAACACCTAGCAAAAATTTATAACTGAGAAATTTTTAACCATTTAAGCCAAGGTTCTGGGGTTCCTAACTCATTTGGTAGGAGTGCTGTTTTGATCCTCTTTGGAGTAACAGATCCATCTTGTCTATAACCTTGAGTTGTTGACTATTCAGTGATTAAAGCCAGTAGGTTGTGAAAGAAGACCTTACTGTAAAAACAGTGGAGATCTGTTGTCTTAATCTTTATCCTAGCTCCAGAATAAGTCTTTAGCCTTAAGTTCTCTTTTCTTTTAAAATAGAATAGTTGAGAAGTCTTTGTTGCTTTCCTCCTGTTTAACAGAGCTGTTCTCTGTACTTTTAGTTCTCAGAAGCAAAGACAAGTGTTCATGAGAGAACATTTTGGTGTTAGGATGGGGAGAGATTTGGCAACGGCATTGAATTTAGCAGATGTAGAATAGGGTCAATGAGAGAGAGATGTTGGAGGCTGGGAAATGGATAGGGGACTTCTTCACCTTTTTGATGGATTCCTAGCATTCAGGTGATTGAGGGAGAGCCAGAGGGAAGTACAGAGCGGTCATTATGGTTGTTATTCTGCCCTAAATTCTTTCCTGGCATCTTGCTTTATTTTTCTTTGCTGTCCTCTTGTCACTTCTGTGTCTTCAGTTTCTAAAATAACAGCTTGCTTTTAATAATTTCTGGAGTAGAACAAACTCAGTCCTTGTGGAAACCCCAAACCATGGTCATGTTCTTCCATACTTTCCCTGAGCTAATGGCAGTGGGTTTGGTCTCTCCTCCTAATTAGGTTCTAAGAGGCAGCCATAGCAGGTAGAGAAAATCTAGATCAATAGAAGACCAAACAATGTTTATTTTCTGAATTTGCATTTGTTCCCACCCCATAATTTGTCCATTTCACATTCTTGACTGAGAGTCATGCTTTACTCAGCCTTTAGACAGGTTTTCTTCTTGCAGTCCTCCTTCCCTTCCAGTGTTCCAAGTTTGCATTTCAGGACCTCTGCTGGTTCAGGACCTTCTCCTTGTTCTGTTATGCTTAAACTTCCAGATGGGGTATTAGGAGGGTTGGGTGGGCTTTGGAAAGCTGGAGTATGACCTGCAGAAGGGTGTGGACTTTGCACTTGAGTAGGAGAACTAGAATCTGTAGCTGCTGTATTTGGAATTATGGTTGCACTTGGTGCTTGGTGTACAGCCTTTGCGTTAGTCGTCTTCTGTGTGGAAGATCCACTGTGTGGATCATGAGGCTGTCAGGGGTGGAAAAGAAGAGCCAGTTATGCTTCTAGTCAAATCCAGGTCATCACCAGTTAATCTTATAAGTTATGTTTTTGCCATACCATGGGCAACAAGTCAGGTAAGAAGAGTTATGTTTGATTCACTTAACCTCTCTTTGAGAGCCATGGTGACATCGTGCATACTCTACTTGCTAATCACAAAATCAGCATTTAAAATCCACCATCCTCTCCTTGAAAGAAAAATGGGCAGTGTCCTCTCATAATAATTTATTCCCTCTGAAACATGACAAAGGATCACTATGAGTCAAAATTGACTTGCTAGCATTGGGTTTAGTTAGTTTTTTAGAATCTCTCCATAAGGAGCTCTGATGATAATAATTATTAAGTGCTCAGCTGCTAACCAGAAGGTCACCAATTCATACCTGCTAGCCACTCCATGAGAGAAAAGACCTGACAGTCTGATCCCATAAAGATTACAACCCAAAAAACTGTGTTTCAGAGTGTGCAGCTGCTCCCATGGACAGAGATAAGGCAGTCTCCTCCGCTATGATTTAAAAAGTCAAACAAGGAAGCAGCAACATCAAGATGGCTTCTCATACTGGGCAGGAAAGCTTGGAGCCGCAAAACTCAAGTTTTCACTGCTGATACTGAGCTGCTCCAAGAAGTCTTTCCCCTGATATCTTATTAGCATGCAGACCATCAGGTTGCAACCCCCCCATGATACATCTTCAGGGATATGAACATGTACGGCCAAGCACAATCAATAAGAGTGCATCTAAATTCCAAAATCAATCTCCATAATAGTCTATGTGTTTCCTACTGCCAAAGGGGCCCTTTAGAGTAGTCAGAGAAGATCTTCACCCTGAAACCCACAGCGTCCCTTTTCAGCAGGAAGTTGCTAAGAGAATACCCCATCCCCTTTTCCTTATGAATCAGGGTGAAGTCTCTCTCAGGGAGGAGTGATAGGGAATGGCAAAGGACACACCGACAAAGGAGATTAATCAGAACTGATTTTGACAAGTACTGTGGCAATTGGACAATTAAAACAGGCATTCGGATGGTGGGGAAGAAGAACAAACTGGGGAGGAGGGTAGAGAGAATGGTGCAGCAATGAAGGAATGAAAACCCAAAATCCCTGTAAATGTTCATTAAAACTAATAAAATTTAATAAAAAAATAATTGAACATGCAAAATTTGGAAAAAAAAGTCAAACAAATAGAAACCATCGCTGCTATCAAGTCAGTTCTGACCCACAGTGACCCACCATCAGGTTTCCAAGGCTGTAAATCATTCCTAGAGGAGAATGCCATCTTTCTCACATGGATTGATTGGTAGTTTCAAACTGCCAAATTTTTATTAACGGCACACCATGTAACCACACTGCGGCACCAGAACTCTTTCCTTAAAGATTTATAGCCTTTGGAACCCAATGGAGGGTCACCATGAGTTGTAGCTGAGTTGGGTTTAATGGCACACAGCAGTAACAACTTCCTCTTGAGACTAGATAATTTTCTGCTCTTGGGGCAAAATGTCCTTTTGACCTTAAAAAATGATTAGTGATTGTTGTTATTAGGTGCTACCAAGTTAACTATGACTCATAGTGATCCTGTGAACAACAGATCTGAAATTCCCCCTATCCTGTGCCATCCTCACCAGCTCTGGTATGTTCGAGTCCATTGTTAGTCACTGTGTCAGTCTTATCTTGTTGAGTGTGTTCCTCTTTTTTTCTGAGCCTCTGCCTTTCCCACCATGATGTCTTTTTTTCAAGGCTTGAACATCTCCTGACAATGTGCCCAAAGAATATGAGATGAAGTTTCACTGTCCTTGCTTCAAAAACACCCTGGTTGTACTTCTCCAGAACAGACTTGTTTGTTCTTCTGACAGTCTATAAGATATTCAGTACTCTTTGCAACACCACAATTCAAAGACATCCATTCTTCTGTCATCCTTATTCACTGTCCAACTTTCAGACACATAGGAAGTAATTGAAAGACCATGATGTGGATCAGGCACACCGTGTAGTCTTTAAACTGACATTATTACTCCCAGAACTTACAGACACTATCATTCCTGGCCTGTAGTCATTCCCTAGATAAGAGAAGTAACTTATCTGATAGGGAGGCAGCCATCCCCTGGACTGGAAAAGACACCATCTTTAGCCAGGCAGACTAGCCTAGGCTTCTCCGAGACCAGCAGAAACTTCACTCCAGGCTGGATACACTGCCTCTTGACACACCTTCAACATACCCTTCCCACAGCATTAATGTTTTATGATATTTGTATGATCAGAGATTGTTGTTGTAAGGTGCTTTTAGTCGAGTGTGACTTATAGCGACCATATGAACAACAGACCTGCACCCTGTCCTATCCTGTGCCATCCTCATCTCTGACACACTTGAGCCCAGTGCTGTAGTCACTGTCTATCTTACTGAGGGTCTTCCTCTCTTTCACAGACCCTCTGCATTTTCAAGCATGGTGTCACTTTCCAAGGAACAGCTTCTTCTAGCAACATAACCAGAGTATGAGAGATGAAGCTTTCCATCTTTGCCTCCAGGAAGCATTCTGCTGCACTTTTCCAGAGACATTATCTGCTTGTTCTTTTTGGCAGTCATTTAGACAGGCTAAAACAGCTATTGGCTAGAAGTTCCCTCTGCTGGGTAGTAGTGGTATAACAACAGGCAATTTTGAAATTGAAAAGAAAAAAAAGAGACCCTAGGGTTTGAGGTTGTGTTAGAGGAATAGATAGATACCTTGCCTAAGATTTCAGGACGTAATCCATTGGAGGCTGTCAGCAAATCAGGATTTTTCTGTATCCATTTAGTGAGGGAATCAGCACCAGCCACTGTACGGGAGGTCAGTGTCACCCGTGCAGGAGGTATCTTCAGAGGCATTTGCCATGTACCCATGAATGAACCCCAAGGACTTGCCTAAAAGGAAAAAGACAAGACTCCTCACAACCAGCGACTGACCTGTTGGCAGGAATTCTGTTCATCTGATGGCCATTCTTTGCTTTTGGTAAAGAAAGAAGACTAAAAGTATAATTTCCCAGTTCATTTCCCTTCCCCTCCTTTTAGATGCCCATATTTTTTATTTTTTTTAATCTTCTTTCCTCTACAACCTTGGGCTCAGTTTGACAAAGTGTAGTACCTACTGCATAAATATCATCATCTGAGGCATTCTCTAAAAGATTTTTGCCTTGTTATGTAAATGAAACAAATTTAAGGGAGACTAGGTACAATTTGAGGTAGACTGAACTTTAATCCTCCAACTAGTGACTGCAGGTCACAAGTCTACCCTCTGTTACCCAAGTTCTGTGCTTCAGTTCTTTACCTTTTTCCCCCCATGACATCATGCCTCTTTAATCTGTTTATATATACATTTTGCAAATACTTTGAAAGTAGTCCTGACAATTTGGATCAACTCTAGTCGAAAGTTGATCTTTATATCGTCTGTTTTACCTTTTTTTTTTTGAGATCTTAGTGAAAGTTTATAGAGAACTTGGATTTCAATTAATTTATTGTTGCACATTTTCCTCTCTTCCCCACCCCCACCCCCAGTTCGCTTTTCTCTTTGGAAAAAAAAAATTATTTCATTGTACAATTCCCCACCTCCACCCCAGTCCACTTTACTATGCAGCTCTTATTCTGGACTGTTATCATGCAAATAATACCTAATCATATATTCTTTTTAAGTAGCTCTTTCCCTCATCTGTTTCCATGCATTATACATTATTTATCCCCTTTTCTTAGTTACCCCCCAACCGTGATGTCAGTCATTTTACAACAGTGGCATTATGCAATATATTTCCTTTTGTGACAGAGATATTTCACCCAGCATAATGTCCTCCAGAGTCACTCATTTTGTAGGATATGTCATGAGCTCCTTGTTTTTTCAGTGCTGCATAGTATTCCATTGTGTGACTATACCACAGCTTCTTTTATCCATTTGTTTGATGATGGGCGCGTGGGTTGTTTCCAACTCTTTGCTATTATGAACAATACAGAGTTCTTTACCTTTTGTAATGAGAATACAGATTGAATATCTCACCTTGGAGCGTGGTACTGAAGGCAACAGATGACCACGATCATTGGCAATAATCTGAGTATAGCCTTCTTGAGAAGAGATGCTCTGGAGTAGAGACAGAGAATAGTACTTTTAAAATTAGAGTGAAAAAGAGAGGGAAAGAGCCTGAGGGGCTTGAATAAAGAAAGAAGTTTATAGAAGTTTAAAAGTTCTGTCTCAGGGAGTGACAGAAACATGACATAATGAGCAAGAAACTGGCTTTGGAGAGACAGTGTAAATACCTCTTTAGTTGGCTTGGCAGGAGACCAGTTCCGCAGACTTCTGGGTGAGAAAGCTTTTTCATACTGTGGAGAGAAAGATAAGAGAATCCTCGTGAGGATCATAGGCCCCACAGGGTCTAGATTTGAAGACCAAAGCTGCACAACTAGACTAGGTTCTAATTCACTTTGGAAAAGATGTTATTTATTTGGTCTAGAGGTACACTGTCCACTATGTTAGCCACCAGGCACATGTGACTATTAAGTACTCTACATGTAACTAGTCTGGAAAAAAGTATGTTTTAAAGTATAAAACAGACACTGGATTTTTTAAGACTATAAAAAAGTAACAGAAAATGTCCATACTTTTAAGTCTATTCATTACATGATAAAATACTATTTTTATATACTGAGTTAAAGTAACTATAGCCTTTAATATTTTTTTTAATATGACTACTGAAAGTTTTAAATTACATTTATGGTTCTCATTTTTTTTTCAATTTTATTCATTTATTTATTTTTTTGGCAGTGGTCAGCAAACTGTGGGCTATGAAACAAATCCATGCTGCTGCCTGGTGTGGTATGACCTGTAAACTAAGACTTGTCTTTATAGATGAACATTTAGAAAAGTTTTACTCAGTTATAGTACTTTTAGTTTTACAAATAGAAAGTTTATGGAAATTTACTTTTCCATGTTATATAAGAACCTAGATTGTGGCAAGCTCTGGTGGCCTACTGGCAAGAAGCTGCACTGCAATCCCAGAGATATGAGGTTTGAATCCACCAGACGCTCTGCTGAAGAAGGAGGGACAATCTCCTCCTGTATCAGTCAGATCTGATTTGACGGTACACACATTAAAAAAAAATAAAAAGTAATAAAAAGAAAAATTAAAAATAAACTAATTAATTTTTAAAAAGAGCCTAGATTGTTTCTGATTTTGCCATTTGTCCCATCAAGTCTGAAATATTTACTCTCTGGCCTTTTACAGAAAGCAATGTGCTGACCTCCAATCTAACCGCTACAAACTAAAACTCTTTTTAGTAAATTTCCCCCTCTGAGAGGTGAAATACTTAATATCTCACTTCACTCTGACATAAGCTTATTCACCGATCAGAATCCAAAGATAGAGCTGAGAAGTAAAATTAAACGTTTGAAAAGTTAGAGAAAGAAAACTTACTTGATTTGCACTGTAGTTTGTGGCCATGATTCTACCACATTTGTTTATACTTGTTGCCTGGCAACCTCAGAAGACAGCCTTCAAGCCTACCACCCAATCAGCTTGTACCTTTCCTTTCTACTATTCACTTCCTTAGCTGATTCTGCCCCCCATCCTTCCTCCTGAAAACCTAGCTTCATTTTCTTTTTAAGGAGGTTAAAGACAGTAAAACTGAGAAAATTAGCTGAATAATAACCTCTTTTTCCCTAGTGTAACTTACCTCTGCCTAAGGACTATTCCATGTCTTTGGAGTTTTTAAGCCTGAAGTGGGAAACCATGGGCCTGTGAAAGCTTTCATTGGGAAGGGCAATGAAGACAAACATGGAGATCTGAGTTCTCAACAGGGTTTCAGAACAGCTCATTCCAGTTCAACCTTCTACTAAGAATTTTCATTTGCACCCCAGGATAGACTTAATATGCATTTTTGTTTGTTTGTTTTTCTATAATTATATTTTATTAATTTTCATAAACATTTACAGAGATTTTGGGTTTCCATTCATTCATTGTTGC